CCCCCCTGCTGCCCCCTGTCAGTTGCTCCGCCAACCTGCCCTCTTCCTTTCGCCTTTTCCTCGCTTCTCCCGGATATCGAGCCGTTTATTGTCCTCACATGCATCCTCACCGCGGTCCAAAGGCGACCTGCTACTGACCTGAGCGCTGACCGCATGCAACAAGCGGAGCTGCGCTGCGAAAGGGTTGAACAAGGGAGGGGCCAAGCAGTTCCCGCAGGGAACGTGTTGATAACCACTCAATGAGTGTGTGAGCTCAGGGTCCGGATACATCCGATTGTACCGGGTGGCTGCCTACCCCGCGTCGCCTGCCAGCCTGCGCGCTTGGCAGCCCCTCAAACATTTTACCGAGTATACAATTTTGCCAATTTAAAGTGGAAGTCAAGTACACATCGATGCGTTGCCACATGGCGAGGTCCGCGCGGTGCGCTGTGCGAGACTGTTTAATAAGAGCTTTGTTCTGTAGCGGAGTGGTGGAGGGAGGGAGAGGACTGGCGGCCTCCGCGGGGGGAGGAGGATGTCACCCTTGCCCCATCTCCTTGCCGTGTCGAAAGCGAGGGGTGACGCGTGACGACGAGGCCTAAAGAAGAAGCGCGCGCCGACAGTCCCTCGCCGGGGGGATCCGTGAGCGAGCAGGCACTGCCGGGCCCTCCATCGGGCGGGCCGCGCGCCAGGCCCCGCGCCGCCGCCCCTCCACAGCGGGGCTAATCTGGGCGCGTAGTACTACGGCGCCAGCCGCATGCCGGGCTGCATGCACTGCATGCGTGCGAGCGGGGCCGGTCCAGCAGCCTCCGCAGAGCAGCGCACAGGTGTCGAGGGAGCGCGAGGTCGTTGTGCAGTGCCTCGACACAACAGCATGCGGGTTTGCCTACTCGCTCCACGCGTAAGGCGCCACGACCCGTAAGGGTTGGCAAACCCGCTACACTGTTGCGTCGTCGTAGACCCGACACACGGCTTCTTGCGAATGGGCCTGCCAAAGGAATGTATCAGCACAGAGCGCCGTCAGGGGCCGTTGGACTGCTCCCCCCCCCCCCTTGCCTCCTGCCCCCACGGCTCTCGGCTCGTAATCCATGTTTATCGGCGCCGCCCCTCCGCCTAACAGCAACAGCCCTCAGGCCGCGCCCCGCGCCCCGCCCTCACCTCTGCATGTTTACTTCCGCGATCACGACGCGAGTCTATCTGGGGTGATTCCCGACGACACGTGTAAGCAACGGCCCGCACAGCCCTTCTCTTTCGGGGGACATTAGAGACCCCCGCCCCCTCCCATCCCCTTCCATTTAGGACCAGAAAGACAGGAGGAGGCCTCCCGTGTAACGGAGCGCCAGTCCCCACCGTGCGAGAAGCAAAGGGAAAACACTTCCAGGAACCGAGTAAAACAACAACTTCCGTACTGTGACAGCGCCCGCTGTATCCGATGCCCCCCCCCCCTTTTCCCTTTGACTTTTCCCTTGTCGATTAGCTGCCGTGACGTGACGGGAGCGGCGCGCGCCCTCTCCTATAAATAAGGCCTTCTCCTCTTGGCCGGCTACGCGAGGTGAAGGCCAGGAGGGGGAGGGGGAGGGAGGTAATGCGGAGTGACACCCTCAGCCAGAGGAGGGGAGCATAAAGAAGCCGTGCAAAGATGAGAGGATGAGACAAAAAGAAAGGAAACACGGGGGGAAAAAAATCCTTCAATTTCAAGACCCGGTCTTGGGTGTCAATGATGGCGCTCCCCATAAGATCCACAACCTGGTCTTGAAATTAAATGAACTTCTTTATCGAGAAGAAATATACTCCATCGTCCTACCTGTGCGTGCCAAAAATATCACACACAAAAAAGAGTGTGGCTTAAGGTAAAAAGTGTGTGACTAAACTTGTCCGAGAAACAAGAGTGGAGCCCATTTTTGTCTGTGGCATGACCGGCATGTACACTTTAAGGTGTGACAGTTTGACACGCACTTTTAAGTGTTGGTAACTGCCACACACTTCTGTTTGGAGAGTAGTAGTAAGGCGGTAGTAGGCAGCTACTTCACGGGTCACGTCTTTTTCGCAACAGTTGTTTGCTTTGGCACACCGGCCGCACCGCCCAGTTGGCTACCAGTGGGCGCCAGGCAGCGGCGGTGGCGCCGGCCTCTGTGGGGAGCGAGAGGCCTTCATTAAGTCCCCCTCCCTCCCTCCCCCTCCCTCC